ATAATCTACGTAAAGTGTCTGAATCAAAAAAAAGAAGAAAAAAAAAGAAAAAAATCATCTTCATCGAACGATCAATTTGTAATTGATCTAAATTTAATTGGACAAATTAATTATTTATTGTAAATCTTGGAATAGAAACAAAGATAGGGAAAAGAAAGAGAATTCTTGGAAATCGTGGCATTAAAAGGGCATTGCCTGTCTGATTCTTCGTAAAGCCCTAAGAACGAGAGGATGTACAAGAAAGAAGGTAACTAACAACGGCTGAAAACGCGAGACACTCGAGACACGTGTCTAGGTCAACCGGTTAACCCTTTAACGGTCTGACCAAAGAAAAGAAAAAAACGAAAGAAGGAGGCGGAGAAGGCAGCAGCAAGAAGAAGAAGAAGAAGAAGAAGAAGGGTGGCAAAAGCCAGGAAAAAGAAACTAAGGGAGAACAAAACGAGCCCAGTCATGACCAAAGACTCCTCACCCTTTTGAGAAAGAACTAAACGTGTGCTTCTCACCTAAAAGGGTGCCTTTCCTAAACTCGTTCTCGACGATTCGTTAAGTCCAAGAATGTTTTTACCTATTTAAAATATTACAATGGATTGCCACTTGGATATTGTTTTAACTATTCAAAGATAAATTCATGTGTTTATAAATGCATTATTAATTATGCAATTAAAAAAGTTCAATATCGATAAAATTAAATGATACGATAACTATGGTTACAACTTTGACACAATATTAAGCTCAGGTAAATGTAAAGTGTTGAAAAAAAGAAAAAGGTGATCTTTCTTGAACCAATCGAAGCACACTCCGATCCGATAACTGAGGGATAGAAAAGAGGCAGGCGCATGGAAAATGACACCAAAGGACGAGTATCGGTTCTCTCTATCTTTTGGTTTCGGTTGTCCCGCTCGATTATTCGAGCCGTCATCGAGAATTTGCAGAGAAAAGGAAAACACGTTGGGTGGACGTAGTAGAAGGTATCGTAACGACGATACGACAACGGAACGGTCGAAGGGTGCTGAATACGAAGGGAGGAGGAAAAGGTAGAAGAGAAGAGGGTGTGTAGTATAGTAGCAGCAGGAACGACAGTTAAGGTTACGTTCGACGGTCGTCGTTTTGGCTAGGGATCTTTTCTCTCTCTCTCTTTCTCTCTCTTTCACTCACACTCACTCTCGTAGTCGTCTCTCCGACGTAGGGGAAGAGCTCTCGGGAGAAAAACCACCCCCGCGGCACGGTATTCTGGCCCTAGTCGAGCGAATGAGAGAACCCTTCCTCTCTCTCTCTCTCTCTCTCTCTCTCTCTCCCTGTCCTCCCGACACAGCATCAGCATCAGTTCTAGCAGCAGCAGCAGCAGCAGCAGCCAGCACCAGCAGCAACATACCACCGACACACAGCACCTACACCTCCCACGTTGCCCCGGCAACCTCGGCTTGGGGTTGGCCACCGCCGCCTCCATTCACCGCACCTCCTACCCTCTCCTACCCCCTTAGATCCCGTTCGACCCCTCGCAACAACCTTCCTCCACCCACTCCTCCGCGCTCCACCAGAGCTCCTCTCCCTTTCCCTCTTCCATTTCCACCACCGACTCGACTCGACTCGTCCAATCCCCCTAAAACTCCCCTCCCGAGGCCCCTTCAACCCTCTTCTCCAACTCTCCTGCCTACTCCTATTTCGGCATCCCTTCTCTCTACTCTTCTCTTCTCTTCTCTTCTCTTCTCTTCTCTTCTCTTCTCGATCTTCTACGACGTGGAAACTATGCGAGACTCTATGTATGTGTGTACGTGATGATGGAAGAACGAGAGAGAAACGAGGGCGGAGGCAGTAACAGCAGCAGCAGCAGCAGCACTAGCTTCTCTGGAAGCCAACAAGATTAACGTATCTCGAATAATTCATGCGTACTTCGTTCTAAGAGATACGACTGGGGGGTGAGAGAGAGAGAGAGAGAGAGAGAGAATACGCTAGAACATAGTAGAACGCGTGTTAGGAAAGACCAATTTGCACGATCTTAATCATCCTTCACGATCGTGACATATCTTTTTCGTCGCTTTGATTATACTTCAGCCTCTTCAACATTTTCCAATAACACTGGAAGAACATTATTTGAAATTTCAGTCAATATTTGAACGATGATGAGATCAGAAATGTTTGAAAATTATTATTCAATATGTTTGACTCTAGTCTCTAACTATAGATTTTATTTGACTGCCACATTACTGAGGGTGATTCTAAAAAAAAAAAGATTAGATTTAAAAATCTTAGTCTTTTCTATCACCCGAATGATTGGAGAAAGAAACAATCTATCTTCCCGCATCTAACCTTAGAACCCTTAAAACGTTGAGACACCTTGGAAAGGAAACGGAAACTTTTGGAACGCGTTAACGTAAACCGATTTTCGAAGAGTACTCCCCAACGTAGATGCTAGGTGATCGTTTCATCATCCCTTTTATTTCTATCTCTGTCTTATACATCCATGTTCTTTTTCGAACACGCGACACAACCCTCTTGAAACTCGCGTAGTAGATAGACGTAAACGCCGTGTTTCTTTCTCTCGGTAACAGGGTGGAGAAAGTCGATTCTATCTTTATCTTTCTCTGCTCAACTTCAAATAGGGTGAATCAAATTGGCGTCGCGTAGAAGAAGAAGAAGAAGAAGAAGAAGAGAACCTTCTTGGGAGTAGGAGAGAGACGAATTCGATCTTCCGCGTGGAAAACTACGGCTTGTCGTCGCCCTGTGAACCCAACCAATCTCTTCTCTTTATTTTCTTCCGCGAGAAGTGGGTTGCGAAAAAAGGGCTAAACGTGATATAAGAGTCCAAAGAGTTATGTCATGAATGTTTTATAGTCATACTTTCTATTTTCTATTCGTTTAATGATATTACATTAAAATAAATGCCATAAATCAATTCATTAATATGAAAACAAAAAAAGGAAGTTCACAAATCGAATGCAACTAGTTCAAAATGGAAACAGGTTAATGAACGAGCCCCGACGGACCATTGGGAATACTGCGTACTCTTTAAAGGAGCTTTCTGAATCGGGAGAATCGTTAAGAAAAAGAGAAAAAAAATAGCTACTAGCAAACTGGTCTCGTTTGCATTGTTCATAGGTTCGAGAATGTCTTTCTTTATGGAAACGAGTCTTCCATTACTAGTTTCCTTCACGAGGTGGCAAACTGTGATGGCAAGACCAGAAGAATGTCGATCTAATTATGTTCCACGATCGGGTTTAACTAATACCTACCTCCTATATCTATTTAATCGATTCATTATAAAATGTCTCGTACGATTTGTAGAAAAAAATTCAATAGAATATCTTTTTAACAAATTCCGCGTTAATTTGATAATTTTTCTAAGTATGACCAATTATTGTGATTTGTAACGAAAACGATAGATCTGTTCTCTCAATTGGACTCGTTAGTACAAAGATAAAGCTGTTGAACTCGGTCGAATAACGCTCCCGGCCGATGTCTATCTCTGTCTTTCTTTTGTAACATAGAAATGTCATCGTATTGAGAGCGATGCACGATGAACGCGAGGTGGTTCTATGTCCGCAGCACGGGAACGCGAACAGATCGATTACCGTATTGGCGGTAGGAGCGCGCGTAGAGCCACGGTACCGCAACTACGTGACAAATATTATCACGATCGACCTACGCGCGTATCGTTTGATGTGGACGCGTTTATGAAAGGCCAACGCGCCTATAATCGTATGCCTCCGCGAACGCCCAAGAACAAATCCGATTTGTCGACTATGAATCCGGATCTTGTCCCATTCATTTACGTTTAATATCTCCACTGATGATTTGTCCCACAAAGTAAATAATTGCTATTTTAGCAATGGATGTTACTACAACGATGCCACCAGAAATTTATATAGGTTAAAATAATCAAGAATATATGTATATATCAGAGAGACACATCGATAACTCTTGTCAAATGTAGTATCAATGACCCATTGAAGTCATTGACAGATCATTAGAATAATTATCGGTCAATCAAGGCTATTGATAATCCAACAGAAGCGTCATTATAATCATATCAGAATCCATCGAAAAGTCGATGAAAAGCATCGATGTTCAATCCAGACTAACCAACCTCATTTGCTTATTAACGGAAGCATTAATGATCTATCAACATCAACTAACCCTGTTTAAAAATTGTATAGAGGAAAGAACATCGACGATTAGTAGTAGTAGTAGTAGTACACTTGCGAAGAAAGTAAATGCACGAACAGCGATGAAACAGAGAATGTAGTGCAGTGTGTTATGCACGGTGTAGGTTAAACGAGATCGATAAGGTTTACTCTCTACTCGCGTAACGCGTCACACAGAAGGGTGAGGTTTATATGAAAATAATAGAGGGTTGTTCCAAGAGGACTTTTTATCGTCCCTTCCTTTCCCTTTTTTTTTTAAAGGAAGGTAAGAAGGAAGGAAGGAAGGAAGAAAGAAAAAGGAATTTCTTAGACGCGATATTCTAGGGAAGGTGTCTAATGTAGACATTGGAGGGTCGCGCAGTTGAGGGAGACAGAAAGAGAGAGAGAGGAAGGGAAAGTGGGAGGGTGGTTGGGTCACCCGTTTCCACCCCTTGGCGGCGGCGGACGGGAGGGTGCAACTCACCCACTCTGAGCCAGGCTGAGCCACCACCAGCCGCCACCGCCGCCGCCACCACCGCCGCCACCACCGCCGCCGCCCCCGGGCGTCCTCATGCCATGCCAACCAACGAGCCGGGGCCGCTTTCGCTTTGTGCGCACCGGGGCGGCGGTACATCAAAGCCTTCTAGTTCCCGCTCCGGCCTTTGACGGCTGCGTCGCGGCCGCTCGCTCAGTCATCGCTCGGTAGGCGAAGCCAGCACGCCGCGCGGATGAGCTCGACATCGTTGTCCTCGCGAATCCTCGTCGGCCGGGATCTGCGAGATTTCCTTTGCCAACTAATTTCCTTTCCTCCTTGGAACTCGATCGGGTTCGACAGTGTTCCTAACCTTCATACGACCAACAGACTTATCTCTGTCTCTTATGTCTCCTCGCGGGAGCAAGTGCGCGCGTGTTAGCGGTAGCAAAGCTGTGCCCGCTTTACAAAAAGATCGTAGGGTTTCAAGAGAGGAGTCTAGAACCTTCGAAACTGACCAAAAGGAACGTCAAGAGCAAGAACCAGAACACCAACAACAACAACAGCAGCAACAGCAACAGCAGCAGCAGTYGGCCGAGGATAAGAAGAAGAAGGCATCAACGATGACGATGAAAAGACGGAAGAGGAAGAAGAGGAAGAGAAAACCAGGCCGAGCGAAGACGACGCCAGAGACAGACGCGGTAGCGGTGGCGGCGGCGGCTACGGCGGCGGCGGCGGTCTTGGCGGCACGCGAGGGTCGATCGTGGCTCACGACGCGCATGCGCCAACCCCTGGAAAGCACCGAAGGTGGCCTCGAGCAGCCCTGTGAAAACGGCACCCTGCTAAAACGACCGTGCTCGCAAAGCCCGCATCGCGAACTCTTGGCCGAAACCAGAGACCTTTCTAGCTCGGCCTGTTCTTCGCGGTCACCATCCCTGTCGCCCGCCCTCTCTTCTTCCGCCTCTAATTCCCCCACGAATTCTCCCTCTTCCTCGAGGTCGTCCTCGGTAGCTTCGAGTAGCGAAAGATCTTCGATTGGTGGTACTCGATCGAAAACGTCCAAGAACTCACGAAAACGGCTACTTTGCAGAGACCGGAAACGGAAGGAAACGAGCCGCCGCGGTAGCCGCGAATGTGCACGACCACCAGAGACTAAGAAGGAAGAAGGGAAGGAGGAGGATATTGTAACGGGGAAGGTGGAGGTAGAGGAGGAAGACGAGGAGGAGGCGGAAGCGGAAGACGAGGAGGAGGAAGAGGAGGAAGAGGAGGAGGAGGAAGAGGAGGAGGAGGAGGAAGAGGAGGTGGGACCAGTGGGGGAACTCCAGACTCGTACCGAGCCACCGATAACGTCGACTCCACCGATTCCACCACCCACACCCTCTTCCTCTTTCCCTGCGATCCCAACAGCTGCTCCTTTGCCCCCTCCCTCGCCATCTACTTCACCCTCGGCTTCCTCCGAAGCTCTCGCTGCCTCTTCTCCGTCCTCCTCTTCGTATCGTGCCGATTCTAGAAATGAAATTTCTGGACCCCGTCCTACCACTACCTCCTCGTCGACCACTTCTTCCTCCACGACCTCTTCGTCGCCTTTAGAAAGTATCAGAAGCGCTTTGGAGTGTTACGATCGAAGCAGAATCTATTTGGCGCACGTTTCCTTTTTGGATTGGCGCGATTTGCCTGGTAGACGACGTGGACACCTAGAGGAACACCGAAACCTTCATGGTGCTGCCTCGAGGAGTTCCGAGAGGTCTTCCGGGGAAAGGGTCTGGGTTGTTGGGGCTGCCGACCATGACGGACATCATAGGACTAGATTGTTAGTGGCCGGTCGTCACTGGAGACCACGTTGTCTCAGACGAGTGAATATGCTCAGCCAACCGGTGGTATATGCCGGCGGGGGAAGGGGTTCCCTGACAGCTGATCTCTTTCTTTGGTGGTTTCACCGAGAGTTTGCCGTAACGGCGATGGCCATGCACCCCGATGGCGCGGTCCTTGTTGCCGAGAGCGCGGATTATTTACCTCCCGAAGGTGATTGCGTTGCGGCCGATGGTCTGGTCAGATTGTTCGTTGTACCAAAAGATTGTCTCGAGACTAGAATCGTCATTAGGGAATTGAGAGTTCGGTTAGCCATCGGAGCCCTTACCAGAGTCTATCACGATGTCTACCGTAATAAACTCTCAACGTTCGAACGAGAGGAAGATCGATTGGAAACGTTCCTTAAACGATTTACCTTGAAGGAAGCTTTCGCGGATCTGCACCGAGCCTGGTTGAGCATACGTTCGGAAACATTTGCCAGAAGTTGGGCCTTGCCGAGGGAACGAGAAGAAGTCGAAGCACGAATAGGTCGATCCAACGTTACAGGAAAAAACTCGGTTCTTCGTACGATTGTCACTTCGGCGGAAAGAGAAGAGGACAGGATGCTGTTGGACGAATTACGTGGACTCGCTGGAGAACTCGGTCTCAAGGTTGGCGAAGAAGAACTCGCTAGATGGATCATGGACGGAGAAGAACGTACCACTTCTCGACGTTACGATACCATCGATCTCGAACCTGATCATCAATCTCGTCTCGTCAAGATCGAAGTCGAACACAAGTCTAACACCGATCAAGAAGGCGAATTCGAACAAGAGGAGGATGACAACGAAGAGGAAGATGAACCGACAGCCGAGGAAACTGTAGGACTACTGACGAGAGTTCTCACGTGGATGGAAAGGGAACCTTTGGATCCTGGACTTCTTCTCGCAGTTAGATCGATGCGCGATATCGCTGCGATTATGGTAAGAATTGACCGATTAAGAGAGGAGTAAAGCGTTTGGCATAACTTACAACCTTTTGGGAGGGCTAATCTTCTTAGCGTGCAGCACACCTCTTTGAATAAAATCGAGCCAATTTTATCGACTGTTACCGAATCGAAAGGGAAGAAGAAGAAGAAGAGGAAGAAGAAGAAGAAGAGTAGAGCAGAGCAGACGAAAAGGGGAAAGAGGTGGGAGGCGTACCCTCGAAGAGGTACTTCAATTCGGCGATACGCCGTCCCACGGAAAAGCCGAACGAGCCCTCGAATCCTCGAGAGGAGAGCGCGCGCGCCGGCTTTGCAAATTAACGCTCGAGATCGTCCTCGACGAATGCTCTCTCCCACCCTCCTTTCTTTTCACTACCTTATCGAATCGAATATCCAGTTTCCTTTTTAAGAGTTCAACTTGATAGAAGGGCGGCTGCTGCTGCTGCTCGCTCTCTCCTGTCAACCCCTTTGGATATCGACGAACTTGACCCGTTCCTCCTCTTTTTTTTCAAACTGATATTTTCTTTATTGATACTTTTATACATTAATTAATTACTTTGCCAAGTAACTACTATAATTACTGATTTGTTTATCAAAAAAAAAAAAAAAAATTAGTTTAATAAGATTTTCGTTGGATTTATTTTTGCAGGCAAGCAAGATGGGCCTAGCAGGAACGCATCCAAGCGGGCTGCCCTTCTTCTGTCCGAACGGTGATCACCTGACGCAACCACCGCCCGCCCACATGGGTATACCTCCGTATGGGGCTTTGGATGCTGGCAAAGCTGCCGCAGCGGCCGGTGAGTATCTACTGGTAGTACCCGCCGTCACGCGTCTATAATCGGACCACCCACACGATTCACGCATCGCGTTTTATTGGATATCCCCTCTGTAGTCTAGAGGTTTTGCCGCTATTAAATTGACGTTTAGTTTCGCGTTTTATTTTTTTTTTTTTTTTTTTTTTATTTACCTTCCTTGTTGGTTACTTTACGCGCACGCCAGAGAAAGAGAGAGATAGATAGATTGATGATATGATATATAACTAATATATCAATGTGCTAACTGTCGCGTGTGATATCCTGTTATTTTTTACTATGTAATTGAAATTTGAACATCGAGTTTCTCCCTATTGTTGATTTTTTCATGAAAATTCTCTCTCTCTCTCTCTCTCTCTGTTTTTTTTTATTTGAGTACTCGGACTAGGTTCACATCCTTTTATTTTTTTTTTTTAATTTTTTTTTCCACAATTCGGACACATCTAGCCGCGCGTATACTTACTGTATAAATATTGACGCTACTCTCGAATCTTAATTAACGTAGAGCTATCTTACGAAGTGCGTCGATCGAATTCATCGGTACGTAATAATAGCCCTTATAAATCTATTCCTGTGTATCGACATCACTTTGTAAACTTTTGTTGAATAAGAGAGAGAGAGAGAGAGAAAGAGAAAGAGATATGCAAATATTAACGCTTTCGTTACATTCGAGTGATGTACGTACAATGGACCACTTTGTTTGGGCAAACACATAACAATTTTCAGATAAAAGTATTAGTTGTTAAACATTTGTTTTATTACATCTTTGTAAATCAAAACTTGAACAATTTTTCCAAACAATCTCTCACTCTCTCTCTCTCTCTCTCTCTTTCACTGTGTGTACAAAAGTTTAAATAAAAAATAATAATAATTAAGTTGGGTCCTCGAGGCGTAAACATTGATATTCCTGAAGGTTTCTAATTGAAGGAATATTATTTCTTATCGAGTCAAGAGCCAAGCCAAGTTCAGAATTCAGAGGGAGGGTTCAAGAGGGCGCCCAGCATCCATGATATAGGAGAAGAGAAAGAAAGAGGAAGAGAGAGAGAGAGAGAAAGAGAGAGAGTGAGAGGGTCTCGTAAACTGGCGTCAAGTAGGAGAATAAGAGGAGGACTCACCATTAGGCTAATCTGCCAAGCATGCAGCCACCCTCGGGTGCCGGGTCAAGGGTGTTTCAAAGCCAGCTCGCTATTTCTACGGCTTCTCTCCTTCCACCCTCGTTGCCTCCGCCCTGGAACCGCCCTTTCTCTCACTCTCTCTCTCTCTCTTTTTCTTCTCGATTTCTCTTTCCTACAACGAGAGAGAGGAGCCATTGTGAAACACGACAGTCGATAATCCGGTACCTCCTTGAATATTCGATATATCGATATATGCTAACACATATATTTCAGATGTTTCACGTTAGATTCTCGTTGCATTTTACAAATGATACAAAAGCTCTCTCTCTCTCTCTCTCTCTCTCTCTCTCTCTCTCTTCCTATTTGTGAAATCAGGTATCGCATCGAAAATGAAAAATCTTTCGTTCTATCAAACTTCCTGAATACTTTCGAATAGGAATAGAGAAATGAGAAAGAGAGAGAGAGAGAGAGAGAGAGAGAGAGAAACGTCGTCGAAACTCGTTTCGATCTTCTCTCTTCTCTCTCTCTCTCTCTTTCTCTTTCTCTCTCTCACGATCCCCTTCGCGTGTCTCCTTAGTCGCCGGAATATGTAGATGGGGCTGATAGCGTTTATGCACGACTACGAGTTCGTACGACGGCGGTTCGAGTTCTTTGTCTTGCAAACGAGCGAACGTTTCGTTCTCTCCTCTCCTCTCCTCTCCTCTCCTCTCCTCTCTTCTTCTCTCAACATCCCCCACCAACAGCGTCGCATCGTGACGACCTCGCTCTCTCTCTCTCTCTCTCTCTTTCTTTTCATGTCTTCTCACTCTTGTCCTCGGTTTACCCCGCAGAAAGCAACGACCCTCGATTCAGCCTCTCTCTCTCTCTCTCTCTTGAATCACACCGAACTTCCTTCTCTCATCGTCATGCACCACGTTGGCAGCCCTGCCACACCAGAGCACGTTCGTCTCCTCTCACTTACCACGAATATATTTCTAATTAGCTCTACTTTTCGATTCTCCATTGCGTGTTTATTTCGCATCTCCTACTCCTCCTCCTCCTCCTCCTCCTCCGTTGCGATGCTGAGAGAAAGAAAGAAAGAAGGAAAGATTGGAAAAATGAAAGGGTTCGTAAAAGGGGGAAAGGCGCAAGCTCCAACCCCGGAGGAGGAGGAGGAGGAGGAAGAAGAGGAGGAAGAAGAGACGAAGGAAGAGGGAAAATTGGGAATGAGGGAGGGAAAAAGAGAGAAAGAGACTGTCGATGCTGAAGTTTCGTTTCGCCGGGGCTGCTCCGCCATTGATCCGCTTAATTTCTCTCTTCTCTCGCTCCTCTTCCCCTTTTCTTTGCCATTCTCTCTCCGTCCGTCCGTCCGTCCGTCCGTCCATCCGTCCTTCCGTCCATCCGTCCTTCCGTCCATCCGTCCTTCTCCATCTTTTTCCTCCCACTTTCCTCCCTCTTTCCTTCCTCTTTCACCTTTCGTCGGTCGTCGCTCACTCGCTCTGCCGTCTGCTGCGCTCTCCATCACCCCCAGCCGATCCAATCCGCTTTCCACTTTGGGGGTGCTGCGCGCGCGCTCGCGCACTCTTCTCTTCATCCACGCTGAGTTTCAGATTTTCTACCTATCTCTATCTCTTTTTATATACGTATATATATATGAAAATATATATCACCCTCTCTCAATATCATCGTCAATGAAAACCTCGATTCACTTCCTACTCTTTCCAATTCTCCATCTTTGTCTCTCATTTACGTTCTTATATCCTACTTTCTTTTTCCTTATTTTACTTTTAAACACAAATTAGCAATTGATTTTAATTCGTAACACAATGTATTAATCCTTTGAACGAACTTAGAGTTTTTTTTTCTTTCTTATTTATACAGTAAGAATAAAAGTGTGTGATCTTGATAACAATCACATTACGATTAAAGCGTCAATAAGCGTAATCAATGAATTCCACTCTTAAAAAATTAATATAATGAATTGTCTAATTGTTTATTAATGGAAAGTAAACTGATTCATTGACCACGAACCAGATCAATTACGTATTGGAATCCAAGGGAAAGCTCCTTACTCGGTATGGAATTCTCAACGGTGGTATCAAACCATAAACGCCGACAATTACGTGAACTCGTTATGTGTACAACTTTGCCTCGTGCAAAACGAGACTCTGTGTGTGTGTGTGTGTGTGTGTGTGTGTGTGTGTGTGTGTG